CTGCTACAAGGTCGCAATCACTCTCTGCTACAAGGTCGCAATCACTCTCTGCTACAAGGTCGCAATCACTCTCTGCTACAAGGTCGCAATCACTCTCTGCTACAAGGTCGCAATCACTCTCTGCTACAAGGTCGCAATCACTCTCTGCTACAAGGTCGCAATCACTCTCTGCTACAAGGTCGCAACCACTCTCTGCTACAAGGTCGCAATCACTCTCTGCTACAAGGTCGCAATCACTCTCTGCTACAAGGTCGCAATCACTCTCTGCTACAAGGTCGCAACCACTCTCTGCTACAAGGTCGCAATCACTCTCTGCTACAAGGTCGCAACCACTCTCTGCTACAAGGTCGCAATCACTCTCTGCTACAAGGTCGCAATCACTCTCTGCTACAAGGTCGCAATCACTCTCTGCTACAAGGTCGCAATCACTCTCTGCTACAAGGTCGCAACCACTCTCTGCTACAAGGTCGCAATCACTCTCTGCTACAAGGTCGCAATCACTCTCTGCTACAAGGTCGCAATCACTCTCTGCTACAAGGTCGCAATCACTCTCTGCTACAAGGTCGCAACCACTCTCTGCTACAAGGTCGCAACCACTCTCTGCTACAAGGTCGCAATCACTCTCTGCTACAAGGTCGCAATCACTCTCTGCTACAAGGTCGCAATCACTCTCTGCTACAAGGTCGCAACCACTCTCTGCTACAAGGTCGCAATCACTCTCTGCTACAAGGTCGCAATCACTCTCTGCTACAAGGTCGCAATCACTCTCTGCTACAAGGTCGCAATCACTCTCTGCTACAAGGTCGCAATCACTCTCTGCTACAAGGTCGCAACCACTCTCTGCTACAAGGTCGCAATCACTCTCTGCTACAAGGTCGCAATCACTCTCTGCTACAAGGTCGCAATCACTCTCTGCTACAAGGTCGCAACCACTCTCTGCTACAAGGTCGCAATCACTCTCTGCTACAAGGTCGCAATCACTCTCTGCTACAAGGTCGCAATCACTCTCTGCTACAAGGTCGCAACCACTCTCTGCTACAAGGTCGCAATCACTCTCTGCTACAAGGTCGCAACCACTCTCTGCTACAAGGTCGCAATCACTCTCTGCTACAAGGTCGCAATCACTCTCTGCTACAAGGTCGCAATCACTCTCTGCTACAAGGTCGCAATCACTCTCTGCTACAAGGTCGCAACCACTCTCTGCTACAAGGTCGCAATCACTCTCTGCTACAAGGTCGCAATCACTCTCTGCTACAAGGTCGCAATCACTCTCTGCTACAAGGTCGCAACCACTCTCTGCTACAAGGTCGCAATCACTCTCTGCTACAAGGTCGCAATCACTCTCTGCTACAAGGTCGCAATCACTCTCTGCTACAAGGTCGCAATCACTCTCTGCTACAAGGTCGCAACCACTCTCTGCTACAAGGTCGCAATCACTCTCTGCTACAAGGTCGCAATCACTCTCTGCTACAAGGTCGCAATCACTCTCTGCTACAAGGTCGCAACCACTCTCTGCTACAAGGTCGCAATCACTCTCTGCTACAAGGTCGCAACCACTCTCTGCTACAAGGTCGCAATCACTCTCTGCTACAAGGTCGCAATCACTCTCTGCTACAAGGTCGCAATCACTCTCTGCTACAAGGTCGCAACCACTCTCTGCTACAAGGTCGCAATCACTCTCTGCTACAAGGTCGCAATCACTCTCTGCTACAAGGTCGCAATCACTCTCTGCTACAAGGTCGCAACCACTCTCTGCTACAAGGTCGCAATCACTCTCTGCTACAAGGTCGCAATCACTCTCTGCTACAAGGTCGCAATCACTCTCTGCTACAAGGTCGCAACCACTCTCTGCTACAAGGTCGCAATCACTCTCTGCTACAAGGTCGCAACCACTCTCTGCTACAAGGTCGCAATCACTCTCTGCTACAAGGTCGCAATCACTCTCTGCTACAAGGTCGCAATCACTCTCTGCTACAAGGTCGCAACCACTCTCTGCTACAAGGTCGCAATCACTCTCTGCTACAAGGTCGCAACCACTCTCTGCTACAAGGTCGCAATCACTCTCTGCTACAAGGTCGCAATCACTCTCTGCTACAAGGTCGCAATCACTCTCTGCTACAAGGTCGCAATCACTCTCTGCTACAAGGTCGCAACCACTCTCTGCTACAAGGTCGCAATCACTCTCTGCTACAAGGTCGCAATCACTCTCTGCTACAAGGTCGCAATCACTCTCTGCTACAAGGTCGCAACCACTCTCTGCTACAAGGTCGCAATCACTCTCTGCTACAAGGTCGCAATCACTCTCTGCTACAAGGTCGCAACCACTCTCTGCTACAAGGTCGCAATCACTCTCTGCTACAAGGTCGCAATCACTCTCTGCTACAAGGTCGCAATCACTCTCTGCTACAAGGTCGCAACCACTCTCTGCTACAAGGTCGCAATCACTCTCTGCTACAAGGTCGCAACCACTCTCTGCTACAAGGTCGCAATCACTCTCTGCTACAAGGTCGCAATCACTCTCTGCTACAAGGTCGCAATCACTCTCTGCTACAAGGTCGCAATCACTCTCTGCTACAAGGTCGCAACCACTCTCTGCTACAAGGTCGCAATCACTCTCTGCTACAAGGTCGCAATCACTCTCTGCTACAAGGTCGCAATCACTCTCTGCTACAAGGTCGCAACCACTCTCTGCTACAAGGTCGCAATCACTCTCTGCTACAAGGTCGCAATCACTCTCTGCTACAAGGTCGCAATCACTCTCTGCTACAAGGTCGCAACCACTCTCTGCTACAAGGTCGCAATCACTCTCTGCTACAAGGTCGCAACCACTCTCTGCTACAAGGTCGCAATCACTCTCTGCTACAAGGTCGCAATCACTCTCTGCTACAAGGTCGCAATCACTCTCTGCTACAAGGTCGCAACCACTCTCTGCTACAAGGTCGCAATCACTCTCTGCTACAAGGTCGCAACCACTCTCTGCTACAAGGTCGCAATCACTCTCTGCTACAAGGTCGCAATCACTCTCTGCTACAAGGTCGCAATCACTCTCTGCTACAAGGTCGCAATCACTCTCTGCTACAAGGTCGCAATCACTCTCTGCTACAAGGTCGCAATCACTCTCTGCTACAAGGTCGCAACCACTCTCTGCTACAAGGTCGCAATCACTCTCTGCTACAAGGTCGCAACCACTCTCTGCTACAAGGTCGCAACCACTCTCTGCTACAAGGTCGCAATCACTCTCTGCTACAAGGTCGCAATCACTCTCTGCTACAAGGTCGCAATCACTCTCTGCTACAAGGTCGCAACCACTCTCTGCTACAAGGTCGCAATCACTCTCTGCTACAAGGTCGCAATCACTCTCTGCTACAAGGTCGCAACCACTCTCTGCTACAAGGTCGCAATCACTCTCTGCTACAAGGTCGCAATCACTCTCTGCTACAAGGTCGCAACCACTCTCTGCTACAAGGTCGCAATCACTCTCTGCTACAAGGTCGCAATCACTCTCTGCTACAAGGTCGCAATCACTCTCTGCTACAAGGTCGCAACCACTCTCTGCTACAAGGTCGCAATCACTCTCTGCTACAAGGTCGCAATCACTCTCTGCTACAAGGTCGCAACCACTCTCTGCTACAAGGTCGCAATCACTCTCTGCTACAAGGTCGCAACCACTCTCTGCTACAAGGTCGCAATCACTCTCTGCTACAAGGTCGCAATCACTCTCTGCTACAAGGTCGCAATCACTCTCTGCTACAAGGTCGCAACCACTCTCTGCTACAAGGTCGCAATCACTCTCTGCTACAAGGTCGCAACCACTCTCTGCTACAAGGTCGCAATCACTCTCTGCTACAAGGTCGCAATCACTCTCTGCTACAAGGTCGCAATCACTCTCTGCTACAAGGTCGCAACCACTCTCTGCTACAAGGTCGCAATCACTCTCTGCTACAAGGTCGCAATCACTCTCTGCTACAAGGTCGCAACCACTCTCTGCTACAAGGTCGCAATCACTCTCTGCTACAAGGTCGCAACCACTCTCTGCTACAAGGTCGCAATCACTCTCTGCTACAAGGTCGCAATCACTCTCTGCTACAAGGTCGCAACCACTCTCTGCTACAAGGTCGCAATCACTCTCTGCTACAAGGTCGCAATCACTCTCTGCTACAAGGTCGCAATCACTCTCTGCTACAAGGTCGCAACCACTCTCTGCTACAAGGTCGCAATCACTCTCTGCTACAAGGTCGCAATCACTCTCTGCTACAAGGTCGCAACCACTCTCTGCTACAAGGTCGCAATCACTCTCTGCTACAAGGTCGCAATCACTCTCTGCTACAAGGTCGCAACCACTCTCTGCTACAAGGTCGCAATCACTCTCTGCTACAAGGTCGCAATCACTCTCTGCTACAAGGTCGCAATCACTCTCTGCTACAAGGTCGCAACCACTCTCTGCTACAAGGTCGCAATCACTCTCTGCTACAAGGTCGCAACCACTCTCTGCTACAAGGTCGCAATCACTCTCTGCTACAAGGTCGCAACCACTCTCTGCTACAAGGTCGCAATCACTCTCTGCTACAAGGTCGCAATCACTCTCTGCTACAAGGTCGCAACCACTCTCTGCTACAAGGTCGCAATCACTCTCTGCTACAAGGTCGCAATCACTCTCTGCTACAAGGTCGCAACCACTCTCTGCTACAAGGTCGCAATCACTCTCTGCTACAAGGTCGCAATCACTCTCTGCTACAAGGTCGCAATCACTCTCTGCTACAAGGTCGCAACCACTCTCTGCTACAAGGTCGCAATCACTCTCTGCTACAAGGTGGGGTGGGGAGCGGGGCGGAGTGGGTGCACGTTGCATGGAAAAAAGACACAATATTCCATGCGGCCCTACCGATGTCTTTCAAGTCTTGGCTTCGAACGACCTCCCATGCAGCAGAACCACCGTCATTCCCGAGGGTTCTTTCTATGATGGAGGAAGGGGAGAGGCACTACGTTCCATGCAGCCTTACCAATGTCTTTCCACGTCTTGGCTTCAAACGATCGCCCATGCAGCAGAACCACCGTCATTCCCGAGGCTCCCCCACCCGCACCCTCCCCTCCTCCACCTCCTCCCGTCCCGGGCTTCCTGGAACCTTCCAGGAACCGCAGCGTCACGCGCTGCCGCCCCTCCTCCTCCGTGATTTCCGGCGGCAGATTCACCACCGTTTCCCTCTCCTCCACTAGGACCTCCGCAGGACGCGCCGCCATCGCCGCGGGGTCGCCGCCGGAATTAACGGCGCGGTTTGCGGAGAAGGACGAGGAGGAGGCGTCGGACAGCGAGGCGTCACGGCGCGCGACTAAGAGGACCAGCGCGGTTACTAGAATCGCGACCGTTAAGAGGAATCCTCGAGTCGGCAGGCTGAGCGAGTCTATGTAAAGTCGCACGAAGCTGCTATTGCTGCTATCGCCGGCTCGCGGCGCGTTCGAATGCGAGGTTCCTAGTGACCTACGCATGAGTGCTGACGTGAGTAATTGCAAGCCGCGGCTCGCCCTCAGTATGGGAATAGATTGACGGGCTGAAAAGCGTTATGAGAAGTGTCCTTGTGACAAGAAATCGAACGATAGCTTTTGCCTTGCAAGCCGAGTTGTACGGACGAATCTTTTCCTCGAAATGTCCGTTTGGCGTAATTTAGCTGGAAAAACATCCCCAGTTTCGAATTCAACGGGAGGAGAAAAGCGTGGAACTTCTGCGCAGCTGTTTGTGGCGAAAGTAACGCCTTTGCGAAAACTTTGCGATCACTTATCGAGTTCAGCGAAGGAAGCCCGTCCACGAAAATGCAGCCAGGCCCTTCGCTTTGCTGCTGGGGTATTCCAGGCCAGGCATGCTTTTAGCGTTCCATCCTCGGTACGATACGTACGAGTGTAGCGTGGCGTGCCAAACGGGTCGAGTCGAGTGTCAGTGAAGTGGAAACCTTTTGCTGCTGAAAACGAGACGAGGTTGAAACTACACTTGGAAAACGCTCCAAATGAATGATGATGGCTTTGTGTTGTTCAGATCCTTTTTGTCACTACAATCCGACAGTTAGATGATTGGTAAGTCCTTTTTTTCCCAGAAGTGATCTCGTTCGTGCTTGTCACATGCGAACGAAACGAGAAGACGAATGGCGGTAACCTCGTGTTTCGCATTGCCCTCCTCAGGCGCAGCAATGCGCGGGATCCGCGCTTCAATATCCGACAGTCCCGCGTTTCCACATTCTTCAGTACTGTCGCCCTCACAACTCTCGATACAATCACGTCCTCCCTCGACGCTAGCCTGCTCGATACTGTCACAATCGCGACCAGCCCCGTACCCGCTTAAAACCTCTTGCGCCTCCTCCGCTTCCCTCTCTTCCGCCTATTCCCGCTTTTTTACCCCCTGTTTCCCGCATCTTTCCGCCAAGGGTCTGTTCCCCCAGCGCCATGCCTCCCCCAGCCTCCGCCAGCCCCTGACTCCGCGACCCCGCCGGCTCCTCATTTCCGCCGCCGGGCGCAGCAAAGCGGCCCCGCGCGTGGTTCGGCGGAAGGTTTCCCCCGCGCACATGCGCCGCTTGCAGAAGCGCCCGGGCGGCATCCACCGGACGAATCTCTACCGCCGCGGGCGGCGCGGCGGGCGGCAGCTGAGCCAGGACGAGCTGACGTCACGCCTGCTGCAGAGCCCACAACTAGCGGCGGGAAACGCGGCGGGCTGGCCGCTGCTTAGCGCGTGTCTGTCCCCGTTGCCGTTAGCGCGGGAGGATCGGGAATGGATCTGGGCGAATGGGGATGAGATTAAGGAGGGTTTAGGGCTTTTGATGGCAGAAGAGGGGGATTGGTGGGAGACAGTGGGAGAGGGTTCAGGGTTTGGCTCTGGGGAAGAGGGGGAAGAGGAAGGGGAAGGGGAAGAGGGGGAATGGGAATATGGGGAGGATGATGAATATGAGGAAGGGGAGGGGGAGGGGGAGGAGTGGGGAAATGAGGGGGAATGGAGAGACGAAAGGAGAGGCAAAGTCGAGGTCAGAAGCGGAGCTGATAATAGGGGGGATGGCAGTGCTGTGAGAAGAGAGCCAGCAGCAGGAAGGGCAGGAGGAGAGTCAGTGGCAGCAGCAGCAACGACAGGAGCAGAAACGGCAGCAGCAGCAGCAACGACAGGAGCAGAAACGTCAGCAGCAGCAGCAACGACAGGAGCAGAAACGGCAGCAGCAGCAGCAGCAGCAGCAGCGGTAGGAGATAGCAGCGTGGGTGAATCGAGTCAAGAATTAGGCAGGAGAGGTTATGGGTTGGGGGAAGAGAGGGGTGCTGGGACTGGGGAGGTGGGAGGAGAGGAGGATATCCACGTGGCAGAAGAGGATTCGTTCAACCCTGCCAGCAAGCTAGACGAGCTCTTATACCTCTCGTATATGCACAGGTGGGTGCCACGTGTAAGATATCCACAGGTGAATGCCACCTGGCACGCAGGTGTATGCAGATGGGTGAGTGTCACATGTATGGTGAGTGCATATTAGCTTGGGCATGCACGTGTCACTGCATGCACATATGACGGTAGGCGTTGCTGCAATCAAGGATATTCATGGCTCAGAATGACTTTTGAGAAAATCTTCTGAGAATTCTTCTGAGACTTATTTTGAGAGTCACTTTTGAGACTTCTCAAAAGTTGATGCAATCAAGAGTATTCATGGCTCAGGATGTGGGGCACCGGGCTTCACCCCTTGTTCTTCTCACCTCCCTTTCCCCCGTTTTGTTTGAGATTAGTTTTGAGAGTCACTTTTGAGAATTCTCAAACAAAACTAATCTCAAACAAAATGTTCTTCTCACCTCCCTTTCCCCCCCCTGTCGCCTCATGCTCCCCCCCCTGTCGCCTCATGCTCCCCCCCCTGTCGCCTCATGCTTCCCCCCTGTCGCCTCATGCTTCCCCCCTGTCGCCTCATGCTTCCGCCCTGTCGCCTCATGCTTCCCCCTCCCTACTTCTTCCCAAAAACCCACTAACCCGCCCCATCCCTCACAACCCATTACCACCTGTGCATCCCAATTAGATCCCCCCCCTCAGGATTTGTGCTGGCGTTTTTTTCTTTTTCCGGATATGTGCTGAACGTGTTTTCTCTCCCTTTTTCCCCACACCACACCACATCTAATCACACCTAATCAAATCAAACCGCACGACACCACGCCGCACCGCATTACCGCTCCACACCCTCAGGGACCAACCTGACAAGTCACGGTTTCTCAAGGTGGCGGGGTCGCGACTCGCGTTTCTGGGCGGGTTTGTGCTGGAGCTGGCTCTGGCTGAGATGCTGCTGCAGGTGCGTTAAAGCCAGGGTCTCAAGTGACCAAGTGCTTCGCAGTCGATGAAAAACGGGCTTGTCTGATTGGTTAACAAATTTGGGGCCAAATTTTTGGCAAATCGAGACTCTCCAAAGAGCCCACTTTTCGCCCAAGTGCTTTGCAGTTGCACGGCCAACCCATACATGAGACCCTGGCTTTAAGGATGGTGATGGCAGTGGTGCATGCTGCAGGTGAGATGGTGCTCGGTCTCACAGGTGGTGCTACAGGCGGCATGGGCGGATTTGTGCTGGAGCTGGCTCTGGCTGAGATGCTGCTGCAGGTGAGGGAAGGGTGATGGTGCAGGTGTGAGAATGGCGCTACAGATGAGAGTGTATGCATGCATGGTACAGGAATGTTGCTGCCACGTGTGATGGATGGTACAGGAATGTTGCTGCCACGTGTGATGTATGGTACAGGAATGTTGCTGCCACGTGTGATGGATGGGGGCTCTTTGTGACGGAGCTGGCTCTTGCTGAGATGCTGCTGCAGGTGAGCTTTGATGATGGTGGCGAGAGAGTGGAGCTGGCAGGTGCGTGCGTGTCGGAACTGGCCGCTTTTTGAGTCGACTAAAAAATCAACTTACTACACGCGGATTTTTGAATCGACTCAAAAAAAAAAAAAAAATTATGATGGTGGTGAGAGAATGGAGCTGACGGGTGCCACTTTTGAGAATTCTCAAAAGTGATTCCCAAATTGCATGCATGTTGGAGCTGGCTCAGCCTGAGATGGTTGGTGTGGTGGCGTGGCGGTAGTGGTGCTGGTGAGATGCTTGCAGGTGAGATGGTGCTTGGTGTCACACACAGGCGGTGCGGTGCGGTGCGGTGCGCGAGGATTCGTGCTGGAGCTGGCTCTTGCTGAAATGCTGCTGCAGGTGCGATGGTGATTTGAGACGTCTCAAAACGCTGCTGCTGCAGGTGCGATGGTGATTTGAGACGTCTCAAAACGCTGCTGCTGCAGGTGCGATGGTGATTTGAGACGTCTCAAAACACTGCTGCTGCAGGTGCGATGGTGATGGTCGTAGTGTTGCTGGGGCGCTGTGGTTATGCCTACTTAAGGGATGAACCGCTGGGACCAGTAGGCAGCATGGGAGGGTTCGTGCTGGAGCTGGCTCTTGCTGAGATGCTGCTGCACTGCATGTAACATCCAGTGCATTCTACTGCTGCATTCTCCCCCCACAACCTCCCAGTGCTACCCCAGGGAGCCAGTAGCATCACTCAGGGAGCGCCAGGGAGCTGGGCAACAAGCGCCGCTTCCCGCTGCTGCTCACCCACTTTCCCACTCTCTGTCTGTGCCTTGGCCCTCTTTGTGTCTCCATTGAACTCAGTGCTACCCACGCGAGCCAGTAGCATCATTAAGGAAGAGGGCAAGGGAGCTGGCCAACAAGCGCCGTTTCCCGCTGCTGCTCACTGCTCTCATCTCTCACTGCTCTCATCTCTTACTGCTCTCATCTCTCACTGCTCTCATCTCTCACTGCTCTCATCTCTCACTGCTCTCATCTCTCACTGCTCTCATCTCTCACTGCTCTCATCTCTCACTGCTCTCATCTCTCACTGCTCTCATCTCTTACTGCTCTCATCTCTCACTGCTCTCATCTCTCACTGCTCTCATCTCTCACTGCTCTCATCTCTTACTGCTCTCATCTCTCACTGCTCTCATCTCTTACTGCTCTCATCTCTCACTGCTCTCATCTCTCACTGCTCTCATCTCTCACTGCTCTCATCTCTTACTGCTCTCATCTCTTACTGCTCTCATCTCTTACTGCTCTCATCTCTCACTGCTCTCATCTCTTACTGCTCTCATCTCTTACTGCTCTCATCTCTTACTGCTCTCATCTCTTACTGCTCTCATCTCTCACTGCTCTCATCTCTCACTGCTCTCATCTCTTACTGCTCTCATCTCTTACTGCTCTCATCTCTTACTGCTCTCATCTCTTACTGCTCTCATCTCTTACTGCTCTCATCTCTTACTGCTCTCATCTCTCACTGCTCTCATCTCTTACTGCTCTCATCTCTTACTGCTCTCATCTCTTACTGCTCTCATCTCTTACTGCTCTCATCTCTTACTGCTCTCATCTCTTACTGCTCTCATCTCTTACTGCTCTCATCTCTTACTGCTCTCATCTATTACTGCTCTCATCTCTTACTGCTCTCATCTCTTACTGCTCTCATCTCTCACTGCTCTCATCTCTCACTGCTCTCATCTCTTACTGCTCTCATCTCTTACTGCTCTCATCTCTTACTGCTCTCATCTCTCACTGCTCTCATCTCTCACTGCTCTCATCTCTCACTGCTCTCATCTCTTACTGCTCTCATCTCTTACTGCTCTCATCTCTTACTGCTCTCATCTCTTACTGCTCTCATCTCTTACTGCTCTCATCTCTTACTGCTCTCATCTCTTACTGCTCTCATCTCTTACTGCTCTCATCTCTTACTGCTCTCATCTCTTACTGCTCTCATCTCTTACTGCTCTCATCTCTTACTGCTCTCATCTCTTACTGCTCTCATCTCTCACTGCTCTCATCTCTCACTGCTCTCATCTCTTACTGCTCTCATCTCTTACTGCTCTCATCTCTCACTGCTCTCATCTCTCACTGCTCTCATCTCTCACTGCTCTCATCTCTTACTGCTCTCATCTCTTACTGCTCTCATCTCTTACTGCTCTCATCTCTTACTGCTCTCATCTCTTACTGCTCTCATCTCTTACTGCTCTCATCTCTTACTGCTCTCATCTCTTACTGCTCTCATCTCTTACTGCTCTCATCTCTTACTGCTCTCATCTCTTACTGCTCTCATCTCTTACTGCTCTCATCTCTTACTGCTCTCATCTCTTACTGCTCTCATCTCTTACTGCTCTCATCTCTTACTGCTCTCATCTCTTACTGCTCTCATCTCTTACTGCTCTCATCTCTTACTGCTCTCATCTCTTACTGCTCTCATCTCTTACTGCTCTCATCTCTTACTGCTCTCATCTCTCACTGCTCTCATCTCTCACTGCTCTCATCTCTTACTGCTCTCATCTCTTACTGCTCTCATCTCTTACTGCTCTCATCTCTTACTGCTCTCATCTCTCACTGCTCTCATCTCTTACTGCTCTCATCTCTTACTGCTCTCATCTCTTACTGCTCTCATCTCTTACTGCTCTCATCTCTTACTGCTCTCATCTTTTACTGCTCTCATCTCTTACTGCTCTCATCTCTTACTGCTCTCATCTCTTACTGCTCTCATCTCTTACTGCTCTCATCTCTTACTGCTCTCATCTCTTACTGCTCTCATCTCTTACTGCTCTCATCTCTTACTGCTCTCATCTCTTACTGCTCTCATCTCTTACTGCTCTCATCTCTTACTGCTCTCATCTCTTACTGCTCTCATCTCTTACTGCTCTCATCTCTTACTGCTCTCATCTCTTACTGCTCTCATCTCTTACTGCTCTCATCTCTTACTGCTCTCATCTCTCACTGCTCTCATCTCTCACTGCTCTCATCTCTTACTGCTCTCATCTCTTACTGCTCTCATCTCTTACTGCTCTCATCTCTCACTGCTCTCATCTCTCACTGCTCTCATCTCTCACTGCTCTCATCTCTTACTGCTCTCATCTCTTACTGCTCTCATCTCTTACTGCTCTCATCTCTTACTGCTCTCATCTCTTACTGCTCTCATCTCTTACTGCTCTCATCTCTTACTGCTCTCATCTCTTACTGCTCTCATCTCTTACTGCTCTCATCTCTTACTGCTCTCATCTCTTACTGCTCTCATCTCTTACTGCTCTCATCTCTTACTGCTCTCATCTCTTACTGCTCTCATCTCTTACTGCTCTCATCTCTTACTGCTCTCATCTCTTACTGCTCTCATCTCTTACTGCTCTCATCTCTCACTGCTCTCATCTCTCACTGCTCTCATCTCTTACTGCTCTCATCTCTTACTGCTCTCATCTCTCACTGCTCTCATCTCTTACTGCTCTCATCTCTTACTGCTCTCATCTCTTACTGCTCTCATCTCTTACTGCTCTCATCTCTTACTGCTCTCATCTCTTACTGCTCTCATCTCTTACTGCTCTCATCTCTTACTGCTCTCATCTCTTACTGCTCTCATCTCTTACTGCTCTCATCTCTCACTGCTCTCATCTCTCACTGCTCTCATCTCTTACTGCTCTCATCTCTTACTGCTCTCATCTCTTACTGCTCTCATCTCTTACTGCTCTCATCTCTTACTGCTCTCATCTCTTACTGCTCTCATCTCTTACTGCTCTCATCTCTTACTGCTCTCATCTCTTACTTCTCTCATCTCTTACTGCTCTCGTCTCTTACTGCTCTCATCTCTTACTGCTCTCATCTCTTACTGCTCTCATCTCTTACTGCTCTCATCTCTTACTGCTCTCATCTCTTACTGCTCTCATCTCTTACTGCTCTCATCTCTTACTGCTCTCATCTCTTACTGCTCTCATCTCTGACTGCTCTCATCTCTCACTGCTCTCATCTCTTACTGCTCTCATCTCTTACTGTCTCATCTCTCACTGCTCTCATCTCTTACTGCTCTCATCTCTTACTGCTCTCATCTCTTACTGCTCTCATCTCTTACTGCTCTCATCTCTTACTGCTCTCATCTCTTACTGCTCTCATCTCTTACTGCTCTCATCTCTTACTGCTCTCATCTCTTACTGCTCTCATCTCTCACTGCTCTCATCTCTCACTGCTCTCATCTCTTACTGCTCTCATCTCTTACTGCTCTCATCTCTCACTGCTCTCATCTCTCACTGCTCTCATCTCTTACTGCTCTCATCTCTTACTGCTCTCATCTCTTACTGCTCTCATCTCTTACTGCTCTCATCTCTTACTGCTCTCATCTCTTACTGCTCTCATCTCTTACTGCTCTCATCTCTTACTGCTCTCATCTCTTACTGCTCTCATCTCTTACTGCTCTCATCTCTCACTGCTCTCATCTCTCACTGCTCTCATCTCTTACTGCTCTCATCTCTTACTGCTCTCATCTCTTACTGCTCTCATCTCTCACTGCTCTCATCTCTCACTGCTCTCATCTCTTACTGCTCTCATCTCTTACTGCTCTCATCTCTTACTGCTCTCATCTCTTACTGCTCTCATCTCTTACTGCTCTCATCTCTTACTGCTCTCATCTCTTACTGCTCTCATCTCTTACTGCTCTCATCTCTTACTGCTCTCATCTCTTACTGCTCTCATCTCTTACTGCTCTCATCTCTTACTGCTCTCATCTCTTACTGCTCTCATCTCTCACTGCTCACATCTCTCACTGCTCTCATCTCTTACTGCTCTCATCTCTTACTGCTCTCATCTCTCACTGCTCTCATCTCTCACTGCTCTCATCTCTCACTGCTCTCATCTCTTACTGCTCTCATCTCTTACTGCTCTCATCTCTTACTGCTCTCATCTCTTACTGCTCTCATCTCTTACTGCTCTCATCTCTTACTGCTCTCATCTCTTACTGCTCTCATCTCTTACTGCTCTCATCTCTTACTGCTCTCATCTCTTACTGCTCTCATCTCTTACTGCTCTCATCTCTTACTGCTCTCATCTCTTACTGCTCTCATCTCTCACTGCTCTCATCTCTCACTGCTCTCATCTCTCACTGCTCTCATCTCTTACTGCTCTCATCTCTTACTGCTCTCATCTCTTACTGCTCTCATCTCTTACTGCTCTCATCTCTTACTGCTCTCATCTCTTACTGCTCTCATCTCTTACTGCTCTCATCTCTTACTGCTCTCATCTCTTACTGCTCTCATCTCTTACTGCTCTCATCTCTTACTGCTCTCATCTCTTACTGCTCTCATCTCTTACTGCTCTCATCTCTTACTGCTCTCATCTCTTACTGCTCTCATCTCTTACTGCTCTCATCTCTTACTGCTCTCATCTCTTACTGCTCTCATCTCTTACTGCTCTCATCTCTCACTGCTCTCATCTCTCACTGCTCTCATCTCTTACTGCTCTCATCTCTTACTGCTCTCATCTCTCACTGCTCTCATCTCTTACTGCTCTCATCTCTTACTGCTCTCATCTCTTACTGCTCTCATCTCTTACTGCTCTCATCTCTTACTGCTCTCATCTCTTACTGCTCTCATCTCTTACTGCTCTCATCTCTTACTGCTCTCATCTCTTACTGCTCTCATCTCTTACTGCTCTCATCTCTCACTGCTCTCATCTCTCACTGCTCTCATCTCTTACTGCTCTCATCTCTTACTGCTCTCATCTCTTACTGCTCTCATCTCTTACTGCTCTCATCTCTTACTGCTCTCATCTCTTACTGCTCTCATCTCTTACTGCTCTCATCTCTTACTTCTCTCATCTCTTACTGCTCTCATCTCTTACTGCTCTCGTCTCTTACTGCTCTCATCTCTTACTGCTCTCATCTCTTACTGCTCTCATCTCTTACTGCTCTCATCTCTTACTGCTCTCATCTCTTACTGCTCTCATCTCTTACTGCTCTCATCTCTTACTGCTCTCATCTCTGACTGCTCTCATCTCTGACTGCTCTCATCTCTCACTGCTCTCATCTCTTACTGCTCTCATCTCTTACTGCTCTCATCTCTCACTGCTCTCATCTCTTACTGCTCTCATCTCTTACTGCTCTCATCTCTTACTGCTCTCATCTCTTACTGCTCTCATCTCTTACTGCTCTCATCTCTTACTGCTCTTATCTCTTACTGCTCTCATCTCTTACTGCTCTCATCTCTCACTGCTCTCATCTCTCACTGCTCTCATCTCTTACTGCTCTCATCTCTTACTGCTCTCATCTCTCACTGCTCTCATCTCTCACTGCTCTCATCTCTTACTGCTCTCATCTCTTACTGCTCTCATCTCTTACTGCTCTCATCTCTTACTGCTCTCATCTCTTACTGCTCTCATCTCTTACTGCTCTCATCTCTTACTGCTCTCATCTCTTACTGCTCTCATCTCTTACTGCTCTCATCTCTCACTGCTCTCATCTCTCACTGCTCTCATCTCTTACTGCTCTCATCTCTTACTGCTCTCATCTCTCACTGCTCTCATCTCTCACTGCTCTCATCTCTTACTGCTCTCATCTCTTACTGCTCTCATCTCTTACTGCTCTCATCTCTTACTGCTCTCATCTCTTACTGCTCTCATCTCTTACTGCTCTCATCTCTTACTGCTCTCATCTCTTACTGCTCTCATCTCTTACTGCTCTCATCTCTTACTGCTCTCATCTCTTACTGCTCTCATCTCTTACTGCTCTCATCTCTTACTGCTCTCATCTCTCACTGCTCTCATCTCTCACTGCTCTCATCTCTTACTGCTCTCATCTCTTACTGCTCTCATCTCTCACTGCTCTCATCTCTCACTGCTCTCATCTCTCACTGCTCTCATCTCTTACTGCTCTCATCTCTTACTGCTCTCATCTCTTACTGCTCTCATCTCTTACTGCTCTCATCTCTTACTGCTCTCATCTCTTACTGCTCTCATCTCTTACTGCTCTCATCTCTTACTGCTCTCATCTCTTACTGCTCTCATCTCTTACTGCTCTCATCTCTTACTGCTCTCATCTCTTACTGCTCTCATCTCTTACTGCTCTCATCTCTTACTGCTCTCATCTCTTACTGCTCTCATCTCTTACTGCTCTCATCTCTTACTGCTCTCATCTCTTACTGCTCTCATCTCTTACTGCTCTCATCTCTTACTGCTCTCATCTCTTACTGCTCTCATCTCTCACTGCTCTCATCTCTCACTGCTCTCATCTCTTACTGCTCTCATCTCTTACTGCTCTCATCTCTTACTGCTCTCATCTCTCACTGCTCTCATCTCTCACTGCTCTCATCTCTTACTGCTCTCATCTCTTACTGCTCTCATCTCTTACTGCTCTCATCTCTTACTGCTCTCATCTCTTACTGCTCTCATCTTTTACTGCTCTCATCTCTTACTGCTCTCATCTCTTACTGCTCTCATCTCTTACTGCTCTCATCTCTTACTGCTCTCATCTCTTACTGCTCTCATCTCTTACTGCTCTCATCTCTTACTGCTCTCATCTCTTACTGCTCTCATCTCTTACTGCTCTCATCTCTTACTGCTCTCATCTCTTACTGCTCTCATCTCTTACTGCTCTCATCTCTTACTGCTCTCATCTCTACTGCTCTCATCTCTCACTGCTCTCATCTCTCACTGCTCTCATCTCTTACTGCTCTCATCTCTTACTGCTCTCATCTCTCACTGCTCTCATCTCTTACTGCTCTCATCTCTTACTGCTCTCATCTCTTACTGCTCTCATCTCTTACTGCTCTCATCTCTTACTGCTCTCATCTCTTACTGCTCTCATCTCTTACTGCTCTCATCTCTTACTGCTCTCATCTCTTACTGCTCTCATCTCTTACTGCTCTCATCTCTCACTGCTCTCATCTCTCACTGCTCTCATCTCTTACTGCTCTCATCTCTTACTGCTCTCATCTCTTACTGCTCTCATCTCTTACTGCTCTCATCTCTTACTGCTCTCATCTCTTACTGCTCTCATCTCTTACTGCTCTCATCTCTCACTGCTCTCATCTCTTACTGCTCTCATCTCTCACTGCTCTCATCTCTCACTGCTCTCATCTCTTACTGCTCTCATCTCTTACTGCTCTCATCTCTTACTGCTCTCATCTCTCACTGCTCTCATCTCTCACTGCTCTCATCTCTTACTGCTCTCATCTCTTACTGCTCTCATCTCTTACTGCTCTCATCTCTTACTGCTCTCATCTCTTACTGCTCTCATCTCTTACTGCTCTCATCTCTTACTGCTCTCATCTCTTACTGCTCTCATCTCTTACTGCTCTCATCTCTTACTGCTCTCATCTCTTACTGCTCTCATCTCTCACTGCTCTCATCTCTTACTGCTCTCATCTCTTACTGCTCTCATCTCTTACTGCTCTCATCTCTCACTGCTCTCATCTCTCACTGCTCTCATCTCTTACTGCTCTCATCTCTTACTGCTCTCATCTCTTACTGCTCTCATCTCTTACTGCTCTCATCTCTTACTGCTCTCATCTCTTACTGCTCTCATCTCTTACTGCTCTCATCTCTTACTGCTCTCATCTCTTACTGCTCTCATCTCTTACTGCTCTCATCTCTCACTGCTCTCATCTCTTACTGCTCTCATCTCTTACTGCTCTCATCTCTTACTGCTCTCATCTCTTACTGCTCTCATCTCTTACTGCTCTCATCTCTTACTGCTCTCATCTCTTACTGCTCTCATCTCTTACTGCTCTCATCTCTTACTGCTCTCATCTCTTACTGCTCTCATCTCTTACTGCTCTCATCTCTTACTGCTCTCATCTCTTACTGCTCTCATCTCTTACTGCTCTCATCTCTTACTGCTCTCATCTCTCACTGCTCTCATCTCTCACTGCTCTCATCTCTCACTGCTCTCATCTCTTACTGCTCTCATCTCTTACTGCTCTCATCTCTCACTGCTCTCATCTCTTACTGCTCTCATCTCTTACTGCTCTCATCTCTTACTGCTCTCATCTCTTACTGCTCTCATCTCTTACTGCTCTCATCTCTTACTGCTCTCATCTCTTACTGCTCTCATCTCTTACTGCTCTCATCTCTTACTGCTCTCATCTCTTACTGCTCTCATCTCTCACTGCTCTCATCTCTCACTGCTCTCATCTCTTACTGCTCTCATCTCTTACTGCTCTCATCTCTTACTGCTCTCATCTCTTACTGCTCTCATCTCTTACTGCTCTCATCTCTTACTGCTCTCATCTCTTACTGCTCTCATCTCTTACTGCTCTCATCTCTTACTGCTCTCATCTCTTACTGCTCTCATCTCTTACTGCTCTCATCTCTTACTTCTCTCATCTCTTACTGCTCTCGTCTCTTACTGCTCTCATCTCTTACTGCTCTCATCTCTTACTGCTCTCATCTCTTACTGCTCTCATCTCTTACTGCTCTCATCTCTTACTGCTCTCATCTCTTACTGCTCTCATCTCTTACTGCTCTCATCTCTTACTGCTCTCATCTCTGACTGCTCTCATCTCTCACTGCTCTCATCTCTTACTGCTCTCATCTCTTACTGCTCTCATCTCTCACTGCTCTCATCTCTTACTGCTCTCATCTCTCACTGCTCTCATCTCTCACTGCTCTCATCTCTTACTGCTCTCATCTCTTACTGCTCTCATCTCTTACTGCTCTCATCTCTTACTGCTCTCATCTCTTACTGCTCTCATCTCTTACTGCTCTCATCTCTTACTGCTCTCATCTCTTACTGCTCTCATCTCTTACTGCTCTCATCTCTTACTGCTCTCATCTCTTACTGCTCTCATCTCTTACTGCTCTCATCTCTTACTGCTCTCATCTCTTACTGCTCTCATCTCTTACTGCTCTCATCTCTTACTGCTCTCATCTCTGACTGCTCTCATCTCTCACTGCTCTCATCTCTTACTGCTCTCATCTCTTACTGCTCTCATCTCTCACTGCTCTCATCTCTTACTGCTCTCATCTCTTACTGCTCTCATCTCTTACTGCTCTCATCTCTTACTGCTCTCATCTCTTACTGCTCTCATCTCTTACTGCTCTCATCTCTTACTGCTCTCATCTCTTACTGCTCTCATCTCTTACTGCTCTCATCTCTTACTGCTCTCATCTCTTACTGCTCTCATCTCTTACTGCTCTCATCTCTCACTGCTCTCATCTCTCACTGCTCTCATCTCTTACTGCTCTCATCTCTTACTGCTCTCATCTCTCACTGCTCTCATCTCTCACTGCTCTCATCTCTTACTGCTCTCATCTCTTACTGCTCTCATCTCTTACTGCTCTCATCTCTTACTGCTCTCATCTCTTACTGCTCTCATCTCTTACTGCTCTCATCTCTTACTGCTCTCATCTCTTACTGCTCTCATCTCTTACTGCTCTCATCTCTCACTGCTCTCATCTCTCACTGCTCTCATCTCTTACTGCTCTCATCTCTTACTGCTCTCATCTCTTACTGCTCTCATCTCTTACTGCTCTCATCTCTTACTGCTCTCATCTCTTACTGCTCTCATCTCTTACTGCTCTCATCTCTTACTGCTCTCATCTCTTACTGCTCTCATCTCTTACTGCTCTCATCTCTTACTTCTCTCGTCTCTTACTTCTCTCGTCTCTTACTTCTCTCGTCTCTTACTGCTCTCGTCTCTTACTGCTCTCATCTCTTACTGCTCTCATCTCTTACTGCTCTCATCTCTTACTGCTCTCATCTCTTACTGCTCTCATCTCTTACTGCTCTCATCTCTTACTGCTCTCATCTCTTACTGCTCTCATCTCTTACTGCTCTCATCTCTTACTGCTCTCATCTCTTACTGCTCTCATCTCTCACTGCTCTCATCTCTCACTGCTCTCATCTCTCACTGCTCTCATCTCTCACTGCTCTCATCTCTCACTGCTCTCATCTCTTACTGCTCTCATCTCTTACTGCTCTCATCTCTTACTGCTCTCATCTCTTACTGCTCTCATCTCTTACTGCTCTCATCTCTTACTGCTCTCATCTCTTACTGCTCTCATCTCTTACTGCTCTCATCTCTTACTGCTCTCATCTCTTACTGCTCTCATCTCTTACTGCTCTCATCTCTTACTGCTCTCATCTCTTACTGCTCTCATCTCTTACTGCTCTCATCTCTTACTGCTCTCATCTCTTACTGCTCTCATCTCTTACTGCTCTCATCTCTTACTGCTCTCATCTCTCACTGCTCTCATCTCTTACTGCTCTCATCTCTTACTGCTCTCATCTCTTACTGCTCTCATCTCTGACTGCTCTCATCTCTCACTGCTCTCATCTCTTACTGCTCTCATCTCTTACTGCTCTCATCTCTCACTGCTCTCATCTCTTACTGCTCTCATCTCTTACTGCTCTCATCTCTTACTGCTCTCATCTCTTACTGCTCTCATCTCTTACTGCTCTCATCTCTTACTGCTCTCATCTCTTACTGCTCTCATCTCTTACTGCTCTCATCTCTTACTGCTCTCATCTCTTACTGCTCTCATCTCTTACTGCTCTCATCTCTTACTGCTCTCATCTCTTACTGCTCTCATCTCTCACTGCTCTCATCTCTTACTGCTCTCATCTCTTACTGCTCTCATCTCTTACTGCTCTCATCTCTGACTGCTCTCATCTCTCACTGCTCTCATCTCTTACTGCTCTCATCTCTTACTGCTCTCATCTCTCACTGCTCTCATCTCTTACTGCTCTCATCTCTTACTGCTCTCATCTCTTACTGCTCTCATCTCTTACTGCTCTCATCTCTTACTGCTCTCATCTCTTACTGCTCTCATCTCTTACTGCTCTCATCTCTTACTGCTCTCATCTCTTACTGCTCTCATCTCTTACTGCTCTCATCTCTTACTGCTCTCATCTCTTACTGCTCTCATCTCTCACTGCTCTCATCTCTCACTGCTCTCATCTCTTACTGCTCTCATCTCTTACTGCTCTCATCTCTTACTGCTCTCATCTCTTACTGCTCTCATCTCTTACTGCTCTCATCTCTTACTGCTCTCATCTCTTACTGCTCTCATCTCTTACTGCTCTCATCTCTTACTGCTCTCATCTCTTACTGCTCTCATCTCTTACTGCTCTCATCTCTTACTGCTCTCATCTCTTACTGCTCTCATCTCTTACTGCTCTCATCTCTTACTGCTCTCATCTCTTACTGCTCTCATCTCTACTGCTCTCATCTCTACTGCTCTCATCTCTCACTGCTCTCATCTCTCACTGCTCTCATCTCTCACTGCTCTCATCTCTTACTGCTCTCATCTCTTACTGCTCTCATCTCTTACTGCTCTCAGTCTCCTTACTGCTCTCATCTCTTACTGCTCTCATCTCTTACTGCTCTCATCTCTTACTGCTCTCATCTCTTACTGCTCTCATCTCTTACTGCTCTCATCTCTTACTGCTCTCATCTCTTACTGCTCTCATCTCTTACTGCTCTCATCTCTCACTGCTCTCATCTCTCACTGCTCTCATCTCTCACTGCTCTCATCTCTCACTGCTCTCATCTCTTACTGCTCTCATCTCTTACTGCTCTCATCTCTTACTGCTCTCATCTCTTACTGCTCTCATCTCTTACTGCTCTCATCTCTTACTGCTCTCATCTCTTACTGCTCTCATCTCTTACTGCTCTCATCTCTTACTGCTCTCATCTCTTACTGCTCTCATCTCTTACTGCTCTCATCTCTTACTGCTCTCATCTCTTACTGCTCTCATCTCTTACTGCTCTCATCTCTTACTGCTCTCATCTCTTACTGCTCTCATCTCTTACTGCTCTCATCTCTTACTGCTCTCATCTCTTACTGCTCTCATCTCTCACTGCTCTCATCTCTTACTGCTCTCATCTCTTACTGCTCTCATCTCTTACTGCTCTCATCTCTCACTGCTCTCATCTCTCACTGCTCTCATCTCTTACTGCTCTCATCTCTTACTGCTCTCATCTCTCACTGCTCTCATCTCTTACTGCTCTCATCTCTTACTGCTCTCATCTCTTACTGCTCTCATCTCTTACTGCTCTCATCTCTTACTGCTCTCATCTCTTACTGCTCTCATCTCTTACTGCTCTCATCTCTTACTGCTCTCATCTCTTACTGCTCTCATCTCTTACTGCTCTCATCTCTTACTGCTCTCATCTCTTACTGCTCTCATCTCTTACTGCTCTCATCTCTACTGCTCTCATCTCTCACTGCTCTCATCTCTCACTGCTCTCATCTCTACTGCTCTCATCTCTTACTGCTCTCATCTCTTACTGCTCTCATCTCTTACTGCTCTCATCTCTTACTGCTCTCATCTCTTACTGCTCTCATCTCTTACTGCTCTCATCTCTTACTGCTCTCATCTCTTACTGCTCTCATCTCTTACTGCTCTCATCTCTTACTGCTCTCATCTCTTACTGCTCTCATCTCTTACTGCTCTCATCTCTTACTGCTCTCATCTCTTACTGCTCTCATCTCTTACTGCTCTCATCTCTTACTGCTCTCATCTCTTACTGCTCTCATCTCTTACTGCTCTCATCTCTTACTGCTCTCATCTCTTACTGCTCTCATCTCTTACTGCTCTCATCTCTCACTGCTCTCATCTCTTACTGCTCTCATCTCTTACTGCTCTCATCTCTTACTGCTCTCATCTCTGACTGCTCTCATCTCTCACTGCTCTCATCTCTTACTGCTCTCATCTCTTACTGCTCTCATCTCTCACTGCTCTCATCTCTTACTGCTCTCATCTCTTACTGCTCTCATCTCTTACTGCTCTCATCTCTTACTGCTCTCATCTCTTACTGCTCTCATCTCTTACTGCTCTCATCTCTTACTGCTCTCATCTCTTACTGCTCTCATCTCTTACTGCTCTCATCTCTTACTGCTCTCATCTCTTACTGCTCTCATCTCTTACTGCTCTCATCTCTTACTGCTCTCATCTCTCACTGCTCTCATCTCTCACTGCTCTCATCTCTCACTGCTCTCATCTCTTACTGCTCTCATCTCTTACTGCTCTCATCTCTTACTGCTCTCATCTCTTACTGCTCTCATCTCTTACTGCTCTCATCTCTTACTGCTCTCATCTCTTACTGCTCTCATCTCTTACTGCTCTCATCTCTTACTGCTCTCATCTCTTACTGCTCTCATCTCTTACTGCTCTCATCTCTTACTGCTCTCATCTCTTACTGCTCTCATCCCTTACTGCTCTCATCTCTTACTGCTCTCATCTCTCACTGCTCTCATCTCTCACTGCTCTCATCTCTTTCTGCTCTCATCTCTTACTGCTCTCATCTCTCACTGCTCTCATCTCTTACTGCTCTCATCTCTTACTGCTCTCATCTCTTACTGCTCTCATCTCTTACTGCTCTCATCTCTTACTGCTCTCATCTCTTACTGCTCTCATCTCTCACTGCTCTCATCTCTTACTGCTCTCATCTCTTACTGCTCTCATCTCTGACTGCTCTCATCTCTGACTGCTCTCATCTCTCACTGCTCTCATCTCTTACTGCTCTCATCTCTCACTGCTCTCATCTCTCACTGCTCTCATCTCTTACTGCTCTCATCTCTTACTGCTCTCATCTCTTACTGCTCTCATCTCTTACTGCTCTCATCTCTTACTGCTCTCATCTCTTACTGCTCTCATCTCTTACTGCTCTCATCTCTTACTGCTCTCATCTCTTACTGCTCTCATCTCTTACTGCTCTCATCTCTCACTGCTCTCATCTCTCACTGCTCTCATCTCTCACTGCTCTCATCTCTTACTGCTCTCATCTCTTACTGCTCTCATCTCTTACTGCTCTCATCTCTTACTGCTCTCATCTCTTACTGCTCTCATCTCTTACTGCTCTCATCTCTTACTGCTCTCATCTCTTACTGCTCTCATCTCTTACTGCTCTCATCTCTTACTGCTCTCATCTCTTACTGCTCTCATCTCTTACTGCTCTCATCTCTTACTGCTCTCATCTCTTACTGCTCTCATCCCTTACTGCTCTCATCTCTTACTGCTCTCATCTCTCACTGCTCTCATCTCTCACTGCTCTCATCTCTTTCTGCTCTCATCTCTTACTGCTCTCATCTCTCACTGCTCTCATCTCTTACTGCTCTCATCTCTTACTGCTCTCATCTCTTACTGCTCTCATCTCTTACTGCTCTCATCTCTTACTGCTCTCATCTCTTACTGCTCTCATCTCTTACTGCTCTCATCTCTTACTGCTCTCATCTCTTACTGCTCTCATCTCTTACTGCTCTCATCTCTCACTGCTCTCATCTCTCACTGCTCTCATCTCTTTCTGCTCTCATCTCTTACTGCTCTCATCTCTTACTGCTCTCATCTCTCACTGCTCTCATCTCTTACTGCTCTCATCTCTTACTGCTCTCATCTCTTACTGCTCTCATCTCTTACTGCTCTCATCTCTCACTGCTCTCATCTCTTACTGCTCTCATCTCTTACTGCTCTCATCTCTCACTGCTCTCATCTCTTACTGCTCTCATCTCTTACTGCTCTCATCTCTTACTGCTCTCATCTCTTACTGCTCTCATCTCTTACTGCTCTCATCTCTTACTGCTCTCATCTCTTACTGCTCTCATCTCTTACTGCTCTCATCTCTTACTGCTCTCATCTCTTACTGCTCTCATCACTTACTGCTCTCATCTCTTACTGCTCTCATCTCTTACTGCTCTCATCTCTTACTGCTCTCATCTCTTACTGCTCTCATCTCTTACTGCTCTCATCTCTTACTGCTCTCATCTCTTACTGCTCTCATCTCTTACTGCTCTCATCTCTTACTGCTCTCATCTCTTACTGCTCTCATCTCTTACTGCTCTCATCTCTTACTGCTCTCATCTCTTACTGCTCTCATCTCTTACTGCTCTCATCTCTTACTGCTCTCATCTCTTACTGCTCTCATCTCTTACTGCTCTCATCTCTTACTGCTCTCATCTCTTACTGCTCTCATCTCTTACTGCTCTCATCTCTCACTGCTCTCATCTCTCACTGCTCTCATCTCTTACTGCTCTCATCTCTTACTGCTCTCATCTCTTACTGCTCTCATCTCTTACTGCTCTCATCTCTTACTGCTCTCATCTCTTACTGCTCTCATCTCTTACTGCTCTCATCTCTTACTGCTCTCATCTCTTACTGCTCTCATCTCTTACTGCTCTCATCTCTTACTGCTCTCATCTCTTACTGCTCTCATCTCTTACTGCTCTCATCTCTTACTGCTCTCATCTCTTACTGCTCTCATCTCTCACTGCTCTCATCTCTTACTGCTCTCATCTCTTACTGCTCTCATCTCTTACTGCTCTCATCTCTTACTGCTCTCATCTCTTACTGCTCTCATCTCTTACTGCTCTCATCTCTTACTGCTCTCATCTCTTACTGCTCTCATCTCTTACTGCTCTCATCTCTTACTGCTCTCATCTCTCACTGCTCTCATCTCTCACTGCTCTCATCTCTTACTGCTCTCATCTCTTACTGCTCTCATCTCTCACTGCTCTCATCTCTTACTGCTCTCATCTCTTCTGCTCTCATCTCTTACTGCTCTCATCTCTTACTGCTCTCATCTCTTACTGCTCTCATCTCTTACTGCTCTCATCTCTTACTGCTCTCATCTCTTACTGCTCTCATCTCTTACTGCTCTCATCTCTTACTGCTCTCATCTCTTACTGCTCTCATCTCTTACTGCTCTCATCTCTTACTGCTCTCATCTCTTACTGCTCTCATCTCTTACTGCTCTCATCTCTTACTGCTCTCATCTCTTACTGCTCTCATCTCTTACTGCTCTCATCTCTTACTGCTCTCATCTCTTACTGCTCTCATCTCTTACTGCTCTCATCTCTTACTGCTCTCATCTCTTACTGCTCTCATCTCTTACTGCTCTCATCTCTTACTGCTCTCATCTCTTACTGCTCTCATCTCTCACTGCTCTCATCTCTTACTGCTCTCATCTCTTACTGCTCTCATCTCTTACTGCTCTCATCTCTCACTGCTCTCATCTCTTACTGCTCTCATCTCTTACTGCTCTCATCTCTTACTGCTCTCATCTCTTACTGCTCTCATCTCTTACTGCTCTCATCTCTTACTGCTCTCATCTCTTACTGCTCTCATCTCTTACTGCTCTCATCTCTTACTGCTCTCATCTCTTACTGCTCTCATCTCTCACTGCTCTCATCTCTCACTGCTCTCATCTCTTACTGCTCTCATCTCTTACTGCTCTCATCTCTTACTGCTCTCATCTCTTACTGCTCTCATCTCTTACTGCTCTCATCTCTTACTGCTCTCATCTCTTACTGCTCTCATCTCTTACTGCTCTCATCTCTTACTGCTCTCATCTCTTACTGCTCTCATCTCTTACTGCTCTCATCTCTTACTGCTCTCATCTCTTACTGCTCTCGTCTCTTACTGCTCTCGTCTCTTACTGCTCTCGTCTCTTACTGCTCTCATCTCTTACTGCTCTCATCTCTTACTGCTCTCATCTCTTACTGCTCTCATCTCTTACTGCTCTCATCTCTTACTGCTCTCATCTCTTACTGCTCTCATCTCTTACTGCTCTCATCTCTTACTTCTCTCATCTCTTACTGCTCTCGTCTCTTACTGCTCTCATCTCTTACTGCTCTCATCTCTTACTGCTCTCATCTCTTACTGCTCTCATCTCTTACTGCTCTCATCTCTTACTGCTCTCATCTCTTACTGCTCTCATCTCTTACTGCTCTCATCTCTTACTGCTCTCATCTCTTACTGCTCTCAGTCTCTTACTGCTCTCGTCTCTTACTGCTCTCGTCTCTTACTGCTCTCAGTCTCTTACTGCTCTCATCTCTTACTGCTCTCATCTCTTACTGCTCTCATCTCTTACTGCTCTCATCTCTTACTGCTCTCATCTCTTACTGCTCTCATCTCTTACTGCTCTCATCTCTTACTGCTCTCATCTCTTACTGCTCTCATCTCTCACTGCTCTCATCTCTTACTGCTCTCATCTCTTACTGCTCTCATCTCTTACTGCTCTCATCTCTGACTGCTCTCATCTCTACTGCTCTCATCTCTACTGCTCTCATCTCTTACTGCTCTCATCTCTTACTGCTCTCATCTCTTACTGCTCTCATCTCTTACTGCTCTCATCTCTTACTGCTCTCATCTCTTACTGCTCTCATCTCTTACTGCTCTCATCTCTTACTGCTCTCATCTCTTACTGCTCTCATCTCTTACTGCTCTCATCTCTTACTGCTCTCATCTCTTACTGCTCTCATCTCTTACTGCTCTCATCTCTTACTGCTCTCATCTCTTACTGCTCTCATCTCTTACTGCTCTCATCTCTCACTGCTCTCATCTCTCACTGCTCTCATCTCTCACTGCTCTCATCTCTTACTGCTCTCATCTCTTACTGCTCTCATCTCTTACTGCTCTCATCTCTTACTGCTCTCATCTCTTACTGCTCTCATCTCTTACTGCTCTCATCTCTTACTGCTCTCATCTCTTACTGCTCTCATCTCTTACTGCTCTCATCTCTTACTGCTCTCATCTCTTACTGCTCTCATCTCTTACTGCTCTCATCTCTTACTGCTCTCATCTCTTACTGCTCTCATCTCTTACTGCTCTCATCTCTTACTGCTCTCATCTCTTACTGCTCTCATCTCTTACTGCTCTCATCTCTCACTGCTCTCATCTCTCACTGCTCTCATCTCTTACTGCTCTCATCTCTTACTGCTCTCATCTCTCACTGCTCTCATCTCTTACTGCTCTCATCTCTTACTGCTCTCATCTCTTACTGCTCTCATCTCTTACTGCTCTCATCTCTTACTGCTCTCATCTCTTACTGCTCTCATCTCTTACTGCTCTCATCTCTTACTGCTCTCATCTCTTACTGCTCTCATCTCTTACTGCTCTCATCTCTTACTGCTCTCATCTCTTACTGCTCTCATCTCTCACTGCTCTCATCTCTCACTGCTCTCATCTCTTACTGCTCTCATCTCTTACTGCTCTCATCTCTTACTGCTCTCATCTCTTACTGCTCTCATCTCTTACTGCTCTCATCTCTTACTGCTCTCATCTCTTACTGCTCTCATCTCTTACTGCTCTCATCTCTTACTGCTCTCATCTCTTACTGCTCTCATCTCTTACTGCTCTCATCTCTTACTGCTCTCATCTCTTACTGCTCTCATCTCTTACTGCTCTCATCTCTCACTGCTCTCATCTCTCACTGCTCTCATCTCTTACTGCTCTCATCTCTTACTGCTCTCATCTCTTACTGCTCTCATCTCTTACTGCTCTCATCTCTTACTGCTCTCATCTCTTACTGCTCTCATCTCTTACTGCTCTCATCTCTTACTGCTCTCATCTCTTACTGCTCTCATCTCTTACTGCTCTCATCTCTTACTGCTCTCATCTCTTAGTGCTCTCATCTCTTACTGCTCTCATCTCTTACTGCTCTCATCTCTTACTGCTCTCATCTCTTACTGCTCTCATCTCTTACTGCTCTCATCTCTTACTGCTCTCATCTCTTACTGCTCTCATCTCTTACTGCTCTCATCTCTTACTGCTCTCATCTCTTACTGCTCTCATCTCTTACTGCTCTCATCTCTTACTGCTCTCATCTCTTACTGCTCTCATCTCTCACTGCTCTCATCTCTTACTGCTCTCATCTCTTACTGCTCTCATCTCTCACTGCTCTCATCTCTCACTGCTCTCATCTCTTACTGCTCTCATCTCTTACTGCTCTCATCTCTTACTGCTCTCATCTCTTACTGCTCTCATCTCTTACTGCTCTCATCTCTTACTGCTCTCATCTCTTACTGCTCTCATCTCTTACTGCTCTCATCTCTTACTGCTCTCATCTCTTACTGCTCTCATCTCTTACTGCTCTCATCTCTTACTGCTCTCATCTCTTACTGCTCTCATCTCTTACTGCTCTCATCTCTTACTGCTCTCATCTCTTACTGCTCTCATCTCTTACTGCTCTCATCTCTTACTGCTCTCATCTCTTACTGCTCTCATCTCTTACTGCTCTCATCTCTTACTGCTCTCATCTCTTACTGCTCTCATCTCTTACTGCTCTCATCTCTTACTGCTCTCATCTCTTACTGCTCTCATCTCTTACTGCTCTCATCTCTTACTGCTCTCATCTCTTACTGCTCTCATCTCTCACTGCTCTCATCTCTCACTGCTCTCATCTCTTACTGCTCTCATCTCTTACTGCTCTCATCTCTTACTGCTCTCATCTCTTACTGCTCTCATCTCTTACTGCTCTCATCTCTTACTGCTCTCATCTCTTACTGCTCTCATCTCTTACTGCTCTCATCTCTTACTGCTCTCATCTCTTACTGCTCTCATCTCTTACTGCTCTCATCTCTTACTGCTCTCATCTCTTACTGCTCTCATCTCTTACTGCTCTCATCTCTTACTGCTCTCATCTCTTACTGCTCTCATCTCTTACTGCTCTCATCTCTTACTGCTCTCATCTCTTACTGCTCTCATCTCTTACTGCTCTCATCTCTTACTGCTCTCATCTCTTACTGCTCTCATCTCTTACTGCTCTCATCTCTTACTGCTCTCATCTCTTACTGCTCTCATCTCTCACTGCTCCCATCTCTCACTGCTCTCATCTCTTACTGCTCTCATCTCTTACTGCTCTCATCTCTTACTGCTCTCATCTCTTACTGCTCTCATCTCTTACTGCTCTCATCTCTTACTGCTCTCATCTCTTACTGCTCTCATCTCTTACTGCTCTCATCTCTTACTGCTCTCATCTCTTACTGCTCTCATCTCTTACTGCTCTCATCTCTTACTGCTCTCATCTCTTACTGCTCTCATCTCTTACTGCTCTCATCTCTTACTGCTCTCATCTCTTACTGCTCTCATCTCTCACTGCTCTCATCTCTTACTGCTCTCATCTCTTACTGCTCTCATCTCTCACTGCTCTCATCTCCTCGTGTTGCCTTGCCGACGGTGCTACCCCCGCGAGCCAAGCGTCTCTTCCCTCCTCGTGTTGCCTTGCCCACGGTGCTACCCCCGCGAGCCAAGCGTCTCTTCCCTCTGCTGCTCGCTGCTCTGGTCGCTTACTGCCCCTCTCTCTCTCGTCCCTGCATTCCCCTTACCCTCCCAGTGCTACCCCAGGGAGCCGGTTGCCTCGTTGAGAGAGAGGGCAAGGGAGCTGGGCAACAAGCGTCGCTTCCCTCTGCTGCTCACGCAGGCCGGGTTGGACCGGCTGGTGTTCCCCGGCGCTCTCCTCATGCGCGCCCCCACCAACCTACGACAACTGGCAGCCAAGTGAGTGAGGTTTAGGGCTTTTGAGACATCTCAAAAGTCGGTGCTGCTCACTCAGGCAGGGTTAGACCGGCTGGTGTTCCCCGGTGCTCTGCTCATGCGCGCCCCCACCAACCTGCGCCAGCTCGCTGCCAAGTGAGTTCACTGGTTGGAATTGTCTCCAGTCACGTCGGGCTTTTAAGGCAGTGGTAGGTTAGACCACCTGGTGTTCCCTGGTGCTCTGCTCATGCGCGCCCCCACCAACCTCAGGCAACCCGCTGCCAAGTGAGTCAGCTGCTTGTGTTTGAGGGTTCTTTGGCTGGGGCTTACCGCTTGTGCTGCTGCTAGCTAGCCTCTCCCTGCTGCTCACCCAGGCCGGGTTGGACCACCTGGTGTTCCCTGGTGCTCTGCTCCTGCGCGCCCCCACCAACCTACGACAAATGGCGGCCGAAGTGAGTCAACATGTGCGTGAAGATGCTTTCGCTGCCAAGTGAGTGAGCTGGTCCTGGTCAACTGTTGAGGCGCCTCAAAACAGTGAGCTGCTCCTGGTCAAGGGCATTCCCAGTGGGGAGGGAGTGCCTTCCGGTTCACTTTTGAGAATTCACGTTCTCTTCTGGTTCAGGAGTAGCACTTGAGAGCTCAATCACAGTGAGTCGAGTTTTGAGTCGACTCAAAACTCGACTCTCTTCCGGTTCAGGAGTAGCACTTGAGAGCCCACTCACAGTGAGGGGAATGCTTTCTGGTTCAGGAGTGCTGCTTTCCTCTGCTGCTCACTCAAGCGGGGTTGGACCGGCTGGTGTTCCCCGGCACTCTGCTCATGCGCGCCCCCACCAACCTCAGGCAACTCGCTGCCAAGTGAGTGGACTTGTCACTATGGGCTTTAAGGCACGTGCTGCTCACTCAGGCCGGGTTGGACCGGCTGGTGTCCCCCGGCGCTCTGCTCTTGCACGCCCCCTCCAACCTCATTGCCTTTTGAGTCGACTCAAAAGTCACCGGCTGGTGTTCCCCGGCGCTCTGCTCATGGGCGCCCACTCCAACCTCATTGCCCTCCCTGGCATCTACAATCGTCAAAAACGAGCGGACTTCTCCAGTCCCCCGCTGCCTTGGCCTATATCACAAGAGGCATGCCGGAGGTGCACCTGCTGTTGTTTGAGGTGTTTGATTTGAGTCGACTCAAAAGTCGTCACAAAACACGGAGGTGCACCGGCTGGTGTTTGAGGTGGACCCCCATCATCCCAACATGCTTCCCAAGACGGTTCATGCTCCCGCCTCTACCATTCACCCTCAGTCCTTATTCCCTCTCCTGCAGGACTGTTTCCACATCCGTGGTTGCTTCGGTTCGGCCTACCTGACAAGAGGCATGCCGGAGGTGTAGCGGCTGCTGTTTGACGTGTTCGGTTTGGACCCCCACCATCCCTTCAAGTCACATGACACATGTGTACCCAACATCTCTCTTCACCCCATTTCTGCCTACAGGAGCGTTTTCACTTCGCTCATTGCCTCGGCCTACCTGACAAGAGGCATGCCGGAGGTGTATCGGCTGCTGTTTGAGGTGTTCGGTTTGGACCCCGATCATCCTGACATGCTCCCCAAGATCGAGCGAGTGCGTGACGAGGATTTCCTGCACGCTGACCTGGACGGCGACCCGCTGACGTGGCGCGACGTGGCGTGCTACCAGGTGTGTGTGTGGTGAGGAGTGGTTGCAGGGAGGGGGGAGGAGAGGGAGGAGGAGGGGTGGAGCATGTGTGGGTGGGTGTGGTTGAGACGCTTCCACGAGTGCAAGATGCCTTCTTGAGGTTCTGGAAGGTTTTTGAGGTTTCCCTCTAACGCCCCGCCCACCCCACCTTCCCCTCCAGTCTCCACCAATCCCCCTCTTCCCCAACCTCCCTCTTCCCCAACCTCCGTCTCATCCATACCTGCGTGTCGCCTGGAATCGTCCTTCCTTCTCCCCGTCCTTGTATGCTGTCCATTTCATCCCTACTTCCTCACTCCCCTCTCCCCCTCCCCCTTCCGCCCCACCCGCCCCACCTTCCCCGCCAGTCCCCACCAGACTCCCTCTTCCCCAACCCTCGTCTCTTCCACGCGTGCGTGCCGCCCGGAATGTCCCGGTTCCGCGGCTCTGATTGGATGCACCGATCCCTGGAGGCGGCCCTGAGGGCGCTGGCGTGGCCGAGACCAGCCGAGGCAGGAATGAGCTTGGAGGCGAAGCAGCGACGCAATGAAGACATGGTGATGGCTCTGCAGGTGAGAGGAGGATGATAGCATGAGTGCCAAGCATGGGGCCTCTGATTGGATGCACCGATCCCTGGAGGTGGCACTGACTGAGAGCGCTGGCGTGGCCCAGACTGGCAGAGGAGCTTGGAGGTGAAGCAGCGGCGCAACGAAGACATGGTGATGGCCCTGCAGGTGAGAGGAGATGGGCCTTTGGAAGAGATTAGGACGAGTTACCTGTTGGATCCAGGTCGAAACTGTTTGTCTGTGCAGGTGAGAGGCGGTGGGCCTTTGATTGGATGCACCGATCCCTGGAAGCAGCACTTAGAGCGCTGACCTGGCTGATAGGATTCTCTTCCTCCCTTTGCCCCATAACAACCACCGTACAACAACAAACCCCCTACCCTTCGCTGTGCTTCATGCACCCCCCTCTGTACCGCGGCAAAAACCCCCGCTTCTGCACTCCTGATGCTCCCCCTTTACCCCCATCTTCCTCCCCCAAACTACCCCCCCACTCCCCCTCCCCTCCCCCCGCCTTCAGCTGTGCTTCCTGCACCCGTCTCTGTACCACGCGGAGCACCCCCGCTTCTGCTACAGCCTTCATGCCAGGACTGACCATTCCACCCCTCGTGCTCCCCCTTTTCCCTGCGCCACAAACACCGCATCACACCACCCCGCCTCTCCAGCTGTGCTTCCTGCACCCCTCCCTGTACCGAGCAGAGCACCCCCGCTTCTGCTACGACCGGCTTGAGTACCTGGGGCAGAAGATACAGGTGAGGGCTGTGAGGAGATTCAGGTGAGTTGCTAAGGAGTTCCCGAGGTTCCCTAAGTACCGGAATCACTTTGAGATTTCTCAAAATGTCAGAAGAGTCAGGTGAGGGCAATGAGGAGATGGCAGGTGAGGGCTGGCAGGAATTTTCAGCCGAGGGTTGTGAGGAGATCTGGGATTGCCAGAGATAGCGAGGGTTGTGATGATCTGGGATACCGAGGGGGGTGGTGGGTTTCAGGCAGAAGGGTGAATTTCTGCACCATTTTAAGAATGTTCCAATATACTGGTTGCGAGAACAGGTTAGACTTTTCGGTGCCTTTTTTGTGAGTGTTTCTCATTACATCAAGGGTGTTGTTTCTTTTGCTTGTTCTGTATCGGTGGTGTTTTTGTCCAATGTGCTTCTATCCTCTGGCTCTCTGACCGCGTTGTTTTCCCCCCGTGTGTGTTTTCCCCTGCATCCAATGTGCTTGTATGCAACCAGGATCTGGTATTGGCAGAGAACCTCCTACAGTCACACCTCGATGCGCCGATCCTCTGGCTTGCCGACCGCCATACCACGCTGCTTCGGAACCGAGCCTGCGGCCGCTACCTCCGAGCCTCGGGCCTGCACGATCACGTGGAGCTGTCAGAGGAGTCGAAGCAATATTTCTACGCCAATAAAAAGTTTCAGAATCTGGTTTCGGGAGCGGTGTTCCAGGCTGTTCACGGGGCGGCTTATGTCGTGTATGGCAAGCCGGAGGTCCGGCGGTTGATGTTTGGAATGTTTGAGATAGATGGTGGCACGATGCACACCATGTGACGTGATGCGGGGGTTACAGCGTAACAATGTTAACATTGTTTTTTGGCAGTTTCGATTATAAACGGGCAAATGTATCAGTTCTGTACATGTCAGTTGGTAGATTCAATGGTGTATATCCTCATTTTGATGTACCGGTACCGTAACAAGAAAGCAATTGCTTTGTGTTGATCAGCATAACGATGGTATGTACTATAGAGGGTTTATATCGAAATCACATTGCTTACTGGTAGATGCGAGCAGCGAGTACTACATACCACCAGGAAGTTGTACCCTGCCTACCGGTACTTTCTAGATGGGAAGAAGAGAGTGCACGGACAGAGAAAGACAGGGGGTTGGAAGCATTGGGAAAATAGCGGGTCAAGAGTGTATTCATGTCAAGAGCAGTGAAATCACTTGCCTCAAGGGTGAGTGAGAGCGAGAGAGGAGAACGAAAGCGAGCACGAAAACGAAAAGTTTGAGAGGAGGATGGCAAGCGAAAGAAGGAAGAGAGGAGAGAGGAGGGAGGAGGACCGGAAGATCTGGGATGGGGAGGGGAAAAAGGAGGTGGGGAAAGGGGAAACAGGGAGAAGGGGGGCAATGGGGGGCGTATGCACCCACCTGGAAGTGTTGCCGTGGACAGTGTGAGCGAAATCCTCTACGTCCTCTACTCCCCTGTACCCACGTGTAGAAAGTAGATTTTTTAGACGTCTCAAAAACCCACCTGGAAGTGTTGTCGTGGACAGTGTGAGCGAAATCCTCTACGTCCTCTACTCCCCTGTACCCGCACACCACCTCCAGCACTTGCCTGCATTGCATGAGAGAGGAGGGAAAAGGGAACGAACTGTATGCATGCATGGCAGCACATGCAAGCGAGCAGGAGTAAAATCCTCGATGTCCCCCACTCCCCCGTACCCGCACACCACCTCCAGCACTTGCCTGCAGCGCATGGGGAAGAAGAAAAGAGATCAGATGCATGTATACATGCATGCATATACATACCTCACTCGTTTTAAACTCTACTCCACTACCCTGTACCCACAGACCACCTCCAGGACTGCAGCACATGGGGACAGAGAGTAAAAGAGCATGAGCAGCGGCTGTGCTACATAGCACAAGCAAGCAAACTCCTTCACGTCCTCCGCTCCCCTGTACTCACACACCACCTCCAGTACTTGCCTGCAGCGCATTGGGATTGAGATTAAAAGAGCATGAGCAGCGGCTGTGCTACACAGCACAAGCAAACAAACTCCTCCACGTCCTCCGCTCCCCTGTACTCGCACACCACCTCCAGTACTTGCCTGCAGCGCATTGGGATTGAGAGTAAAAGAGCATGAGCAGCGGCTGTGCTACACAGCACAAGCAAACAAACTCCTCCACGTCCTCCACTCCCCTGTACTCACACACCACCTCCAGTACTTGCCTGCAGTGCATGGGGACGGAGAGAGATTGGATCAAGGATTCCTCGAAGCTACTACCACACCCCATGGTACAAGCCCGCCTTGTAGCACACACTCACCTGATGGCACACGGCTCGTTTCTGCCCTTCACCATCGCATCCTCCAAATGTGCCTTCTTCTTCTTTGCCGCCCACTTGCTTGTCTCACTCCTCCTTGCATCACATCACATCACATCACATCACATCACATCACATCACATCACATCACATCACATCACATCACATGTTACTTCCAACACACCCACCTGATGGCACACGGCTCATTTCTCCCCTTCACCATAGCCTCCTCCGAATGCGCCTCTTTCTTCTTTGCCGCCCACTTGCTGCCCACGAATCGGTGGCCGGCGTGTGTCGGCCGCACATCGCAGTAGGGCGAGTCAGTCTCAAGCATGAGGCGATTGGGAGGGATCCCCGCCATGGCTTTAAGATTGTCCTCCGTCTTTAATGAGCATCCGTTGATGCCTGCATGGGGACATGGGATGAAAGCGCGCGGGGGAGAGAGGCCGAGGTTAGAGAGGTGTGTGTCGGCCGCACATCACAATAGGGGGAGTCGGTCTCAAGCATGAGACGGTTGGGAGGGATCCCCGCCATGGCTTCAAGATTGTCCTCCGTCTTTAAAGAGCAACCGTTGATGCCTGCAATGGAGAGATGGGAAGGAGGACGCAAGGATGGAAAGAAGTAGGGAGGAAAAAATAAAACAAAAACTACAACTCCCACAAATTCACTAACCAGCCTGCCACTTCACAAACGTAACACACTTGGGCGGTCCCGATCCACCTGTTGACCTCTCCTCTATCACCCGGCTGGCAGCACTGCTCTCTCTCACCTATGGATTACTTTGGAACGGCGACAATGGTGTCCCCCTCCTCGCACGTTCCTGTGAACGAATGCACCACTCCCCCCACGAGCCAGCTTGCCACTTCACAACTCACGGCACTTGGGCGGTGCTGATTAGAGGCCTGACCGGCAGCATTGCTCTCTCTCACCTATGGATAGCTTGGGCACTGCGAGAATGGCGTCCCTCTCGTCGCACGTGCCTGTGAACGAATGCACCACTCCCCCCACGAACCTGCGGAGTAGTTTTGCACATCCATGAAGGAGCAGGGAGCAAAGGGAGAATGATGACTTGGGAGTCAATTCGCAAGTCTAGTTTTGAGGGGCCTCAAAACGTGCCAGGGAACGAATGCACCACCCCCCCCACGAACCTGGAGCATTGCAAACCCATGGAGAATCAGGGAACAGGGGGTAAAGAAAGATACTCACATATGGAAAGAAAGCAATTTGTGAGTGCATATGGTGGTTATTTGACTCATCACAAGGAGACCACATATGGGCTGGTGACCCATGATTGGTGGGTGGCACTCATGATGGGTGCTGCAGGTGATCACTGCACTGCACCAAAATAGCACCTTGAACCTTTGCCTCCGCCCCAGCATCCCCTACAGCACTCACACCCTCCTCTCCTCGCCTTTTTCCCCATCCATCCCACCCTCACCTGCTCTCATTCCTGGGCAGCAGCAGCAGTGCGCATGTGCAGGAACATGGGCAGCTGGGTGTTTCAAGACAATCAAGCTGTACCTCACTGCACCGCACTCAAACGCTGCCCCCTCCTCCCTCACCTGCCCTCGTTCCTCTTCACAATCTCCAGGAAATCGTCAGCAGCAGCGCGCATGTGAAGGAACATGGGCAGCTGGGTGGTTCAAGACAATCAAGCTGTACCTCACTGCACCGCACTCAAACGCTGCCCCCTCCTCCCTCACCTGCCCTCGTTCCTCTTCACAATCTCCAGGAAATCGTCAGCAGCAGCGCGCATGTGAAGGAACATGGGCAGCTGGGTGGCTTGGGCGAGGTCGAACTGGAGCTCAAAGTACCTTCGGGAAGGTCAAGAGCAAGGAGGGTGATGGGAGGGAGGCATGGGAGGAAGGGACGGGAGAAACGGTGGGTATGGTATGGGATGGGAAGTGTATATACTTGAGGGCATGTGCTTAGCAGATGGGACGAACATGGGCAGCTGGATGGCTTGGGCGAGGTCGAACTGGAGCTCGAAGTACCTTGGGGAATGGGAGGGGTGAACAGGGAATGTGCAGGAACATGGGCTTGGGCGAGGTCGAACTGGAGCTCGAAGTACCTTGGGGAACTCAGTGAGCAAGGGGGAGAAATGGGAGGCATAGCAGGGAATATCAGGAGAGTGGTGGGCTTGAGGGCATGTGCAGGACATAGGCAGCTGGGTGGCTTGGGCGAGGTGGCATTGGAGCTCGAAATACATTGGGGAAGGGAGTGAGGAAGGAAAGGGATGGAAGGGACGGGAGGGATATTAAGGATGGTAGGCATGGGAGGGATGGAAAGGGATGCTATAGAGTGGACAGCATGTGCCATTCCGCAGAATTCTTGTGCTGTAACCTTTCACCCTCTCTCCCTTTCTGCCTCTCTCCCCTCCCCCCTCCCCTCTCCCCTCTCCCCTCTCCCCTCTCCCCTCTCCCCTCTCCCCTCTCCCCTCTCCCCTCTCCCCTCTCCCCTCTCCCCTCTCCCCTCTCCCCTCTTTCCAACTCACTTCTGCTGCACCTCCTTGGGGCAGAACACGAGGCGGTCATAGTCCAACCCGCACTCGCCCACCGCCACCACCTGCAACAGGCGGGGCAACGGATGGAACAGTATGGGTTGACTTTTGAGTCGACTCAAAAGGCGGGGCAAGGGATGGAACAGTATGGTTCTGGAGACTCGATAAGTGGGCCAAAGCGCGAAACAATATCAATTGAGAGGACTCCAAAAGGGGGAGGGACAATATGGAGGATAGAACACAAGGCGGTCATAGTCCAACCCGCAATCGCCCACCGCCACCACCTGCAACAGGAGGGGCAAGGGCAAGTGTGTGATGGATTATGACATAGGAGGGGCAATGGACAGAGTCGTGTTTTGAGTCGACTCAAAACACGACTCCTTGGGGCAGACCACAAGGCGGTCTTAGTCCAACCCGCACTCGCCCACCGCCACCACCTGCAACAGGCGGGGCAAGACAAAAGTACGGATTAACATGAATTCCAAGACAAACCCAAACGGAGGTAAAAAAAAAGGAACAAAATGAATGCCAGGGAGATTCAATAAGGTAAGGAGATTGGATGCTGCCCCGGGGATGTTGACGTGCCTCTCTTGTTCCGTCTTTTGAGGCGCCTCAAAAGATTGGATGTTGCCCCGGGGATGTTGAGGTACCTCTCTTCTTCCGCGGGCTTCAAGGTGACTTTTGAGTCGACTCAAAAGTCACCTCGGGAGTGTTGAGGTACCTCTCTTCTTCCGCGGGCTTCAAGGTGACTTTTGAGTCGACTCAAAAGTCACCTCGGGAGTGTTGAGGTACCTCTCTTCTTCCGCGGGCTTCAAGGTGACTTTTGAGTCAACTCAAAAGTCACCTCGGGAGTGTTGAGGTACCTCTCTTCTTCCGCGGGCTTCAAGGTGACTTTTGAGTCGACTCAAAAGTCACCTCGGGAGTGTTGAGGCACCTCTCTTCTTCCGCGGGCTTCAAGGTGACTTTTGAGTCGACTCAAAAGTCACCTCGGGAGTGTTGAGGTACCTCTCTTCTTCCGCGGGCTTCAAGGTGACTTTTGAGTCGACTCAAAAGTCACATCGGGAGTGTTGAGGTACCTCTCTTCTTCCGCGGGCTTCAAGGTGACTTTTGAGTCGACTCAAAAGTCACCTCGGGAGTGTTGAGGCACCTCTCTTCTTCTGCGGGCTTCAGGCTTCAGCAGCAATTGCAGTAGACGCAGGTGCTCGTGCCTCAGATCAGATCTCCGGGACTTGCTAAACTGCCTAGAGAGAAACAGCCCTTCACACAGACGCACCTTGCCTTTGGCCTTCCCTTCTTCTGCCAGCTTCAGTAGCGACTGCAGGTGCTTCTGCCTCAGATTCCCAGAACGTTTATAACCGCCTAAAGAGAATTTTCCCCCAGACGCACCTTGCCTTTGGCCTTCCCTTCTTCTGCCAGCTTCAGTAGCGACTGCAGGTGCTTCTGCGGATCCCCACTCGCGTCAAACTCCTGAGAACGGGGGGTGGGAGAGAGTGGGGAAGGGAGGAGAGGAAGGAAGGATGGAGGAGAAGAAAGCGGATGGGATGGCGTGGCGAGAGAAGGATATTACATTGAGAAAAAACAATAAACACGGAGTGGAAGGAGATATCGGGGTGGCGAACAGTGCTAGAGGGGTTGCAATGAGTGAAAATGGGGATGAGGAGCAGATGCTAAGGTTTTGAGACGCCTCAATAAGACTTAGATGGTACACCAAACCAACCATGCACAGGCCCTTGTAAACATACTCCTTACAGGCCTGTCCATGGTGTTGATGTGCATCGCTTTCTAAGAACTCTAATAGATCGCCTCCTTGCAAACATATTCCTTACGATCCAGTGAATGGTGTGTGAGCTAGTTTAATTTCTCTTTATTTCTTTCTTGTTTTTAAGCTCAACAACAGCCTGAGCCAATGCAAACCTGCTCCTTACAGAGCAACGGGTAGGGTGGACACCGACGGTGCAGAAGAGGCGGTCTTTGGAGAAGGAGGGAGGGAAGAGTATTGGGAACGAGGGACAGGGGCGAGCGGGGAGAGGGGAGATACAAGTCCCAAGAAAACATGTTCCTTACAGAGCAACGGGTAGGGTGGACGCCGACGGTGCAGAAGAGGCGATCTTTGGAGAAGGAGAGGGGGGTAAGGAAGAGAGTGGGGAAAGGAGGGAGGGGGAAGGGGGGAAGAGAGGGGAGACACGACAAATGCGGGATTATAATTTAATCAGATAATTGAGTGTGGCAGGAACGCAGGGGAATGGAATTCCAATGTTGGCGGCGAAGAAAACTCTGAGGTTCATGGTCGGGGGAATACAAGGAGTATACGAGGAAAGATGACAAAGGAGATGCTCGCATGGGGAAACAATATAGACTTTCATTAGGGAGACGCTTGTGGCAAACAGGAAATAGGAGACGTGTTTTGAGTCGACTCAAAACACGGCAAACAGTAAACAGGAGACGCCGAACAGGAAACTCACCCACTGCCAGAGCAATCGCTCGCCTATTCCTTTCTAAGCAAGCACTGTAGTGCTTTCACTTTCTCGCTCCCTCACTCCCTCCCTCACTCATTCACTCACTCACTCCATTCACACACCATCTGTTTCTGCCAGGGCGAGTGCTGCTCGGCTCTCCTCTAAGCTTCCTCCAGTGATCTGACACACACACACACACACACACACACACATATGTGCGGTCGCGTACGCACACACACGCGCGCGCGCGTGCGCAAACAAGTGCGCGCAGTCACACACACACACACACACACACACACACACACACGCACGCACACACACACAAGCGCGCGCGAACACCCACTCCCCCCACACCCCCCTCCCCACACACACACACTCACACACAGGTGAAAGCAGAGCGACACAAGTAAAAAAGGACGAGAGGAAAGTAACTGACACACACCAAGAACTGAACGAGGCAAAGAGGAGAGGCCTTGAACACTCAGAGGAAAAACACAGTTGGCATCACATTGCCTCTGCCACTCACAATAATTTTCTCCACTCCAGCCTCCCAGGCTCGGGAAAGCACTGCCTGCAGGTCTGGTGGGTGCGCCTGTTTGCCATGGTAGCAGCCTTGGAACATTCCATCTGCCGTTGGTTTGCAAGGGGAAACGGGTAAAAGGCAACAAGGGAGGGAAGCAACCTCCATACTTAGTGAAGGGGGGAATGCCTGGAGACAGGATCAGAGAGAAGGCGAGCAGATAAAGGTTATTAGAAAAGGAGCCCATACAGGAAGAGAAAGCCGGAAAATCACTATCAAAGACACCATCTTATCCGAATGAATTCATTTGGTCATGTAGCGCCGCACCTAGCAAGTACAGAACAAAACGGACACGACGAAAACGTTGCGACCGAGTTAACTGTAAGTTGGCTGCAATTTCTGCACGTTTGCGGAAGCAGGAAAGTGGGATGTTTTCGGAGAGTGGTCATGCACAGTCGGTCATCATACAAGGGGAGGCGGGTTGGGAAACAGAAAAAACATACAGGATTGAGCCTTTGGTGACATGGCAGGAACACGAGATGCACCATTGTGAACGAAGGCCAGAAAAGAGCAAAACTAACTGTTTTAGAATGCGAGTTTGACCAAAATTGATGCAAATGAGACTTCTGAACAGCAATTCAAGTACATGATATTTATTAATAGAACTGCTCATTGCCAATGACCAAGTTTGGCCGAACTGGCATCTACAGATGAGCTTGGCAGGTGGTGCCGGCTTGGCCTCTGTGGGCCCCCCTTGCTCAGCAGCGCTGGTTCGTTTCTTCTTGCCCATCGCAGCGGCTACACCACGGCGACCAGTGGACTGAAATCCGCCTGATCTGGGTGATTTATCAAATCAAACAACTCAACTACCAACTTACCGATTAGCCTGACAGGTGGTGCTGGCTTGGCCTCTGTGACCCCCGCTGGCTCTGCAGCGTTGGCTCCTTTCTTCTTGCCCATCGCACTCACTGCACCACTGCGACCAGTAGAATCCGCCTGATTTGATAAGTTTCTGCCCGGAAATGTGCTCTTCCTAGTTGATACCGGATCAATCCCGAGGATACCAGAGAACGGATTTGCGAAACTTCGGCAGTTACGAGGCTGGGAGAGTGTTACAGAAGTGATCAAATGCTTCGTGAATGTGAAGGATGTGAGTGAATGCGGTGTGACTGTAGGAAAGGTTAGTGAATGGATCCTGCAAGGTCGACTTGGAAGGGAACTGCGACGGCTGGCGCGACCAACGGAGATCCCAAGGGGAACGGCAGCGAATACGGGCGTGAAACGCGAGGCGTGATTCACCTGTGCGGGGAAGGTGAGACGAAGCTGTGGGTATGGCAGGAAGGAGCAGGCTGCGAGGGACATTGGGGAGGAGATGGCGATTATGCGAGTGCAATGCAACAAAAACAGGTAATTCTATGATCAGGCTCACGAAGAAGCGGAGAATCTCTAGTTTTTCCTGATGATAGCTCTCAGCCACACACAACAAACGGACGCTCTGGAGTGCACGGAAATGACAACTGCCGTACGCGTTGTTATCTCGTGCTGTGCTGAACCAGCCCGATAAGTCAAAGATAGTAATGTACTGGAACAACATTTTCAAGGTCTCATTGCTGTAGTAATTGAAGCTGGATTGTGGTTGTTGTGGGCCAAGAAAAGACCTGGATAAAAAAAAAGCCACACGGACTGTTAGTTGTACGAAAGAAGAGTGCGCAGTATTCAATAACGCGGAAGTGATTACAACTACTGATCAAACAACGAGGCCTAGGCGTAATATAGCAAAGCTAGCTAGCAGGGGTTTTTTTATCAGAGTAAATCACTCTGTTTCTCTGAAAATCAGAGTGGTTTTTGGGGGGTCACTCTGACGTTGCTGAGTAATTTTTTTGAAGTTTTCTCTGATTTTCCAGGGTCTTGATTTTAGCTACTCTGATAGACCAGTGTAAATTTCTGGCGAATGCATTTTTCTCTGTACAGGGTGTAGGCGCCTTGTCCAGGTTAAAAATGGCTCCAGAATTTATAAATTAAACTCGGAATTCGTGGTGACTAGTTAGCACAACGATCAAATTGCTTTTAGGGGCGCGGTAGGCATGGGTTCAATACTTGACAGGACACACCCAAATGGAAAAATAGATACACGGACTACACGGACTGAAGTTAAGTTTTCTCTGACAAATCAGAGTAGCGCTCATGATCAACCCTGAATTTCAGGTCGTGTCCGTAGGGATGACATGTCAAGCGTGTGAGTGTCAACTTCTGGTTTTGACCCTTGCCAACATTGTTGGCAGAGTGTCAACAACATGAAAACTGCCAGCCAGTTAATTTAGTTGGACATCCCGCTCTGCAAATTGTGTTCTTCCATCCAGCCAAATTAACTGGTAGGATCGAGAATCCTTTCTACCCACACCTGCCCAATTAACGGATGTAAAGTCCTGTACCACTGCAAGGTCTTGAGTCGCGTGTGGATGTAAAGTTTTGTAAGACTGCAAGGTCTTGCAACAAATTCGTGCCCAATCAATAGGTTGCTGTCAAATGTAATTCTATGCTTGTAGGCTACAGTGAGTAGCACAATAGGGAGTACAATTGTTAGGGTTGCATATTTGTACTCTCTCACTTTCTAGTTTCGATCATTCCGTTGCATTCCTATTCTAAGATGGTATCACGAGTAGGTTAGATACGCGTTCGTTTTTAGCTAGCCTCCGCGCCCTACGCGCCCTACGCGCCCTACGCGCCCTCCGTGCTCTCGCGCCCTCCGCGCCCTCCGCGCCCTCCGCGCCCTCCTCGCGCCTAGCCCGCGCCCTCCCGCGCTGTCCAGCCTGTCGCGCGCCCTCCTTAGACCTCCGCGCGCCCTCCCCCACCGTTGCGCGCCCTCCAAAATCGTCGTGCGCCCTCCTTAGACCGCCGCGCGCCCTCCCCCCCACCGTCGCGCGCCCTCCTCAACCGTCGCGCGCCCTCCTTAGACCTGTCGCGCACCCTCCTCCGTCAACGCTTCCCGCACACCTGCGTGCGCTTCCCGCACACCAGCGTGCGCTTACCCCACACCTGCGTGCACCTACCGCTCACCTGCGTGCGCTTACCGCACACCTGCGTGCACTTACCGCATCACTCTGTGTGCGCTTCCCGCACACCTGCGTGCGCTTCCCGCACACATGCGTGCGCTTCCCGCACACCTGCGTGCACTTACCGCACACCTGCGTGCACCTACCGCACACCTGCGTGCGCTTACCGCACACCTGCGTACACTTACCGCATCACTCTGTGCGCTTACTGCATCTCTCTCCCCTTCACCTGTGCACCGGTCCCACGCCATTCCTCCTGCACTTGGCTCCCGGCTCAGCGGCTGGCAGCCGCTTTTTTCTCCGGTAGCGCCACCTAGGTTCGGTTAGAGCCCCGCCCCACGACTATTTTCTCGCCGACTGTCTCTCGTCGGTTTCCCTGCTGGCGTCCCTAGCCCTCCGTAGTTTTCCTCCTCGTTCTTAGCTCCGCCTCCGCCATGCTCCAGTCGCCTCTAGCATGGGCTCCGCTATGGAGGCCCGTCGCCTCCGTTTCGATGCTGAGGGACGCCCGATCGAGTTCGGTACCTGGCAGCGCCTAGACCACACGTTTCCTCACCAGCCAGCGTCAGGACGGCGCTACTTTATGGGCCCACGCGTCGGGTGCTCTCGCGGCACCCCCGTCCCCCGCCGCCCTGCCGACCGCCCCGGAGCCGACTCCTACGGCCCAGGCGGACTACGACCGTCGGAACCTGGCTCGGGACGTGTGGCTCTCTCGTGACGCGGCCGCCGCCCTCACGCTATCGGAGCTTC